AACTACTGCTCCCATAAGGGGGGCAAGGCAGGCAGGAAAGAGGGGGAATACTCCTCAGACCCGGGTTTTACTAATGGGGAAGCTAATCCATGGAACATTCTATCCAAAAAAGGGCAAAAGGACAGGATTACAGCAAACAGGTGGGTGTAATTCTACCCCATYGGGTGACATCCACTCCCTGAGYGGCACCTTTCTTATCCAAGCGGAGRTAAAGTCCACCTGTYGTGCAGTGGGTGCAATACCRTCYAGTCCCTCTTGACTCAGGACTTAAAGGTGTGTACATAGCTCCTGTCCAGGGCGGCCCCTACACTCTCCTGGCTTTATTCCTGGGCCAGGGCACAGCCTCCAGCCGACAGGGCATTGCTCCCTGAACATTTCCTCTCCCTGTTTTATATCTTCCATCCTCTCTTCATTTTCCACGAAGTGATCTTGTTAAGCTCCCAGGAAGCAYCTGCTTACCTCTGGTCACTTCCGTGAGGCCATCGCCACATTCGAGCTGGGCTTTCCAATATGGGCTCTAGTTTTTACAAGTTCTCATTGCTTTTTTTTTTTTTAATCATTTTTTTCAGTTTTACTTTCAACACTTCTTTTTCTCCCCTCTGAAACTTCTGTTTAAGCTGGGCACGGGGACACACACACTTGTCCTCCCCGAGGCTGGGAGGCCGAGGCAGGAGGATCGTGAGTTCAAAGCCAGCCTCAACAATTTAGCAAGGCCTAAGCAACTTAGTGAGACCCTGTTTCYAATAAAATACCAAAAAGGGCTGGGGATGGGGCTCAGTGGTTAAGTGCCCCTGAATTCAATCCTCGGTACCAAAATAGAAAGAAACTGTCCAAGATCATGGACTATGTGGTAGCCGTCTCATTTGCCTTCTGATCTTAGATCTTTGCCAATGCTTGCAGAAACTGGGAAGAAGCATTTGTTTCACAGGGGCCTGGTGGAATTTCGGGGTGCCTAGGTGAAGAAGGAAATTCAGATAATTTTCCATAAGATCTATGTTCTGCCGGCGTTTTTCCCTGGCCAAGTATGGAACGCTAGGAGCAAAGTCTTGAAGTCCTTTTGGTGTGACTCTTTGGCTCCCTGGAKTTCAGTAGAGCATATCCCCAGGCTTTTCTGGGGCATAGAGCAGCTGGGGGCACGGAGCAGCTGGGGGCCCCCGGCTGCTGGAGGACTCTGTATTGAAACCACCCGGCTCCTACTACTGCCTTCCTGAACTTCTGGGAAAATTGCAGAATCCATGTCCTGGAGGGCAATCCAGGGCAGATGGCAGTGGGGGAGAGTGCTGTTTTAGATTAACAGGAGGATTTATCATGCCAAGAGGTCAATATTTACCTTGGCCCAGCTCCGATGGGTCTTTACTTCTCTGCTCAGTGGCTCTCTCTGCTGACTTCAGCAGAAGCAAAGATCTGTGTTCTGTCAGCTGCAGAGGGTGCTGGTGAGATTCTCTTATCACAAAGACCTGGAAGCAGAAGAACCCACTTCTCTGCTKCAGCCTGCTCTCTTCCATGGAAACCCCAATCCCACTGCGCAACTGGCCATMTGTGGGGCGCACGCTTCCCCACTTCCACAACAGGGAGCGCACGGCTGCTGGTAACTCTCTTCTCCCATCTGTGAAATGGGGATGTTGAGAATCGCTGCCCTGTCCGTGTCAGAGCGCTGCTATGAGGAGCTGAGGGCAGAGAAAGCACTTTGTCTGCAGCAAAACCAGCTCCCATCCTGGCCAGGTGTGGGGGTTATGCGATTGCTGCAGGTCACCAGCTTCTAGCTGGGACCTGACTCCCATTCTTTGATGCTRGATTTCCTGGGATTTTTAGAGACAGTGGCTTCTGCCTCTGCAGAAGSGGGAGCGTGCATTGCAGGAGTACCAAGGACAGTTTGGAAATACACGAACCCAAATACATGCGCACAGTCGGAATCCGGGCGCCTCAGAGCGCTGCGGGGCGGAGGCGGCAGCTATAGGTACAGCCGCAACCGACCTTCTCAGGCAGAAAATGGATTCGTCCTTCCCAGGGCTTCCCCACGGAGCCCTTTATTTCAGGGCTGTTCAAACTTTCCCACTTTTTGCCGCCCACCACATGCATATTTTATCTCTAAAAAGAATGCAAATCTATGTTCTACTCAATGCTATTTCTATATTTGTTTTAAAATAGTTTCAATTTAAATTGTTGACCCTGGGATAAGATATGCCAAGTTTTGTCCTTGGCAAAACTTGTATTTGGAGAAAGCTCCAAATACTCCTGGGTATGAACATATTGGCTGGCCCCACTGTGGGGGTTTTGAGATGTGTGGTATCCCCCAATTTCATATCTCACCAAAGCCCTGGAAATCATAATAATCATAAATATTTATTGAGTATTACAATGTGCCAAGCATTTTATGTGAATAATTCATCTGATTTTTTAGCACATCCATAAATCAAGGACTGTTATTCTTCTGATTTTATAGATGAGGATACTCAGAGAGGTTGGGCAATTTGTCCAAAGTCACACAGCTGATGCTGGTGGGGTTGGACTCTACCAGTTGGTGCTCTCTGGGGAAGGAGCAAATGGGATGCCACTGAATCCTTCTCCATTCTTGTTGGCTCCCCTAACCCTGCTGGGTGGTGTTGTAGCTATCAAGTTTGCCTACAGGAGTGACCCATCCACAATTGCGTGTGTCCACAGCTGCCTTAAAGATCAGAGTGAAGGAAAGAGAAATTATGGAAGACTGGCTGGAAAGTCCGGAGACAAGCCAGCTTACCCTTTTTGCTTTACAAATAAAGAAGCTGGGAAAGACCAGAGAGGGTCAGTGAGCATTCCAGATTACACAGCCAGTCAGCAGGGGATCTGGGAGCAGATCTGGGGCTCTGTGTCTGGGGGGTGTGGGTAACTTCACATTTCTTTTATTGATTTCATGCCTCTTTCTCTTTATCCTGCATCGTCTAAATGGAACCTCCCCTCATTTGTACAACATCTGTTCAGATTGTCAGCTGTTTTTTTTTTTTTTTTTTTTTTTTTTAAGGAAAAAGGCCCATTTTAATGTCTTCCTAAAGAACAATCACCTTGAGGGTGATGGCTGGGCTATTTCTGTGATGCCCCCAGCATGGTGCCAGATACACAGAAACTGCCCGGTAAACGTCTGTGGGCCCGAATGAACTTAGGGGTCCCAGATAGAAAGAAGAGGACAGAAGTTTCTAGAATGCATTCATTCTTCCCCTAAAGACTTTCATCCTAACACAATCCAATGCGMTACGGAGTAGAGTTTAGTCCAAACTTCTCCTCCATTCCTCCGTCTTGGGTATGGCCCATGGCACCGCGAAAAAATGAGTTTAAGATAAAAACAAATTCTCGTTTCCTTGCTGTAATGCATGTAGCATACATTCAAGGCAGCTTCCAGCAACGCAGAATCTCTCTGGTCTTTCTGACTTCATTATGCAAGTCCAAGAGGGAAGGTGGAAGGCAAAGTGTTTACAAAGCCTGGGGGGAATGACCTCATTGGTTAGGTGTTGGCCAACTGCCCAAGGAGTACGGTCCAGATTCCTTTTGGGGGAGGCACTGAAAACCCCCTGATAACCCAAATTCTCCAAATCTTTTAGACTTCGAGGGAGGGATGGAGGATGAGTGGAAGAAAGTGGTCCTTGGTCCAAGTTATAGCTCCAGTTAGCAGGGAGTCCACGCTCACAGGACCAGCCCTGCCTCCAAGACAGAGTACCAAGGACTTGGGAAGGGTTGGGATTTAAGGGAATTGAGTGAACAGGCTGGTGGAGGAGATATGATATCTCTGGATATGCGCACCGGAGGGTATACATGGTATATGTACCTATGGGGACATATCAGGGCATGTAACAAGATGGCAACTCCTGAGAGCTGGCCTGTCCCATCACACTCTCAACATCATCTTCCTATCTTCTAGCAATAATCCAGCAATCCTTTTATAAAATGTGCCTCCATCCAGCAGGCACCTCCCTGTTGGATGAATTCTCTCCAGTCTTATAGGTGTTCTGCAGACTGGAAGCTTCTCACTCTTAGCAGGGGATGGGGAGGGGCTTGAGATGATTTGGAGCCAGCCCTTGGGATGATTTGGAGCCAGCCCTTGGGATGCTTTGGGGGCAGTTAATCTGGAGAGGAGAACACCGTTAATCTGGAGAGGGGAACACAGGCTGGATCTCCAGTATAATCTGTCCCCACTGTGGGGGCCTTAGGGAGTATCAAGCACTGTGGGAATCCCATAGCCCAGGAAAGACCAATTTGGGCCAGGCTGGCTTTGGGCACAATGGGAATTCTGGAACTTAGCTTTTCTATCTGTAAAAGGTGGGATTGTAGAACATCTTCTCACCTTGACAAGTGAGCTGTGAGGTAGGGCTTGGTGGTGAAAGGGCTAGAAGTTTCCAGGGAAGTCCCTGATGGCTGCTCTGCTTACAGACTGGCCTTGGCATAGCCAGAACTTTAGGTAAGGAGCTGGAAGATATGCATTTTTCTAGTTGAACATTTTTGAGCCTCAGTTTCCACCTCTGAAAAGTGGGCGTGGTACCATTTCCTACCGAGAACAGTGTCGTGGGGCTTAACTATACTATGGGGTGACATCGCTAAGGCACAGCATGGGTGCTCCAAGAGCATTTGCAAAACCGAAGAGCGGGAAGGTTCTGAAACGTGTATTCGCCCCCCCTCCCCAGCCCCTGCGAGCGAGGTCTGGCATTTGGGGTACTCGGCTCGCGGGACCCCCAGCAGAGTTTTGCATCCCAGCTCTGAGGCCACTGTCGCCTCCTCGGCCCCGGGCTGCAGAGGGTTAAAGAGAAAGCCCCACGCCCCCTTTGACGGCGCAGAGCCCACCTCGTTGAATTTGAAAAGCCGGCCCTGGAGAGGCGTGGGCGCCCCCCGCCCAGACACGTCCAGCTCGGACCCAGGCTCGCTTGTGGCCGGTTCCCTCCGCTTCCCGCCCGGGCCGCGGGTTCGGTCCGGCCGCCAGTGCGCCCCTGGTAGTCCCCGAGCCGGGGACTGCGGGTCCCCGCGGGCGATCGCTCAAGATGAAGCTGGCTCTGCTCCTGCCGTGGGCGTGCTGCTGCCTGTGCGGCTCGGCGCTGGCCACGGGCTTCCTCTACCCGTTCCCGGCCGCAGCCCTGCAGCAGCAGCACGGCTACCCCGAGCCGGGCGCCGGCTCTCCTGGAAGCGGCTATGCGAGCCGCCGGTGAGTAGCGCGGGGCAGCGGGGCAGCGGGGCCTGGGGGCGCCGGGCGACCGCAGCGAGGGACGGCTGAGTGATCCGGGGCTGGGGTGCAGGGGCTGGGGACCGGGACCGCCTGGAACGAGGGACGGCGGGGGCGCGGGGCGGGGTGGCCGCGTCCTGGGGCTCCGGGGACTTCGGTGGTCTCGGGCCGCGCCCACTCTCCCTCGCTGCCTGGTTTTCCCACCCTTCGCCCCTCGGCTCGGGTCTCCGAGTGGAGGTCGACCAAATCTGCGGCGGAGACGCGAGGAGGGGGCGCCTGAGGCTCGCGGGGGTGCGGGGCGCGGGGCTCTGCTCCCCGGCTCACGTGGCCCCGCCGCGCTCACCTGCGCGGCCGCGGCTTTGTGTTGGGGAGCAGTTCCCTGGGTTGCCGAGGCCGTGCGTCTGGGTCCCCTGCCTTTCCTGTCGACCTCTCCGCAACACCAGCGGGGCCACTCTGTCCAGTCTTTGGGACGGAGCCCAAGCTGCGACCTTCCGGCCACCCAGGAACGTGGAACCTCCTCGGATTCGAAGTCTCCGCCACGGGGGCCCGGGATGGAGCGGGGTCACCCAGCCCAAGCGGCCGGTACCCGCCCGCCTCCTCTTCCTCCTCCGGCAGGTGGCGCCTTGGCCACCTCCCGACTGTTAGGTTGAGTCGGTTCCCGCTTTTGAATTCGCAAAGGAAACGGGTGGCTCTCAAGTCGATGCCGCTGGAACTTAGCTGTCCCCCATTTAGTAACTGCAACCCGCACCCTGTGCTACCGCGCGGGACACACGGCCTGGACCCGTGCCTTGCCGCTCCCGATCCGTGAACCAATTAACTTTAATCCGTTAACTTAATTAACTCTAAGTTATTAAAGTATTAACTTTCCTTCAACAGAGAACTAGGCCCAGAGGGGGTTCCCAAGTTCAACGGCAACTTGGGGCTGATCCCATATCTTCCTTCTCCGAATCCGGAGCAGCCTTCCGTCCTATTCTGCTGATGATAGACAGGAGGTCCCGGTTCTTTTTTGCCCCTTGATATTTACCAAACCCGAGATCTCCCACGACGAATTCCCACAATGCCTTGCTGGGCACCACTTCACATCTGGAGGAGGGACCCGGGAAAGGCTAAAAAGGTACTTCTGCACAAGTTTGCACGCTATTCTGTYTCCCTCATTTCGTTTGGAAATACTTCTAGAGGCTTCTATTAGAAGAATTCTTCGAWCACCCACGAGAGTGTGGTCTCTGTCCACTCTCATAGGGAGCAGTGCAATAGGTAAACTTTTCAAGTTGCAGAATAATAGAGCATGATTTCATTTATAGAAAACACACAACAAAACAAAGTAGATATCCCTCTAAATATATTAGTGCACAGAAAGAGTTTTTAGAAAACTGTTTCCAGAAGTTAACTATATGGAGGGACCTAGGGTCTGGACCCAAGGACCAGAGTTGGCCCTCTTATCTGCAAGTTTGCTTCGGAAGGTTCAACCAAACTCAGATTAGGAATTTTTAAAAAAAATTTGCATCTGTTCTGAACATGTACAGACTTTTTTATTGTTATTATTCTCTAAACCACCCAAGGCAATGACTCCATACATATCATTTACATTGTAGTAGGTATTGTTAAGTCATCTTGAGATGGTTTAAATTATATAGCAGACTGTCTTTCCATAGAACATATAAGGGACTGGAGTAGCTTTGGAGTTTGGTATCCTGGGTGATGGTGGTAGTGGTGGTGGTGGTGGTGAAAGTTTTGGAGTCAATCCCCAGCAGATATTGAGAGGCAAATGTACCCCATTTCCCTTCTGCCTGCATGTTTTACAAGGAACATTCATGTCTTACTTTTGCAATTAAAATAGAATGTGTGGGAAGGAGGTTGGAGGCCCCTGCAGCCTGGAACTACCCGAGAGGAGCTAGAGATGACTTTCACGGAGGGGGTGAATACCTGGGGACCGCGTTCTGACATTTGATGGACTGGGAAGTCTCCACTGAGACTTGGAAGGGATTGTTTCAATGCCCCGGACTTCTGCCCTTGAAAAAGACAGGCAGGTGGGGAGCCAGCCCAGTCCACCCTCTACCTCGGTTTCTTCCCACACGGTGAGGGGCTTTACCCACAGACCCATGAAGCCCTCCATCTGCACCCCCAGCTCAGTCCACACCCATCACAAATTGTCACCCTTTGGCCAAGGAGTGGGCACTTTGACTGCCGGTTTGTCCTTGAAGCATGGCCTGGGACAAGCAGTCCTGGAAATGGGCTTGGGGGTATCTGGGCAAGGACCCTGCACCCAAGGAGCCAGACCTAGAAACCTCTTGCTCATCTCCTTGAGCAGTTGCATTAGCCTTGAGGTTGCCTGTCCATTGCAAGAAGGTGGATCTTAGAAAGGAGAGATGGCTGGGATCCTGTGCCTAGGTCCCTTGGCTGGTGCGATGTGCGTTCCCAGGAGCTCATATTCTGGAATTTCTGGGAGGGACACTGGGAGGGTCTGCATTTGCCCCAAGCATGTCCTGGTGCCAGAGGGAACACAGCCTTAAATAGCAAATAAATGGCAAGTCAAGAGACAGAAACCACAGATGGAAGAGAAAAGAGCTTTCTATTTCAGTACTTAGGATGACACTTTTTTCCTTACTTTTAGAATGAAGAGCTCAGAAATTTCATTTTGCACTGGGTCTCACCATTTGGYTAGGTCTTGCTCTCATACCTGAGGTGCATACCAGGGCTCGGCTCACCAGAATGAACTGAGGAGATAAAAAAAGTTTCATGTCCAGAGCCCAGCGCCACTCTGCCTGGAAATCTGCATTTTAATGGCGTCCCCAGGTGGTTTGTCCTGTAGCCAGGTCTGGAAAACACCACACTGAGAACAGGATTTCTCAAGAGATTTCTTTCATCGTGACCCATAATAAGAAAAACCTTTTATATGGTGATTTTACACACACACACACACACACACATCTGAAACGAGTTTTGCAAAATGATACTGTGTCCATATGTGATACTCTCTTTTTTTATTGTATTCCATCTAGTTCATAAAAGTATGCTTACAAGGACTCAGAAAATGGATTCCACAGCCCCCTCGTGAGTCTGGGCCTGGGCCTGCCAATGAAAACCGTGGCTCCTGGAGCCAAATAGGGATTCTCACTCTGGGCACCTTGATTGCATGTGACTTGGTGACTGAGCTCTCGCTTTCCTAAGTTTCTTCCCTGGAGATGGAATCAATCTCCTACTACTTCACTCCCCCGAGGGCCCTGACCAGGTCACCTTGAGACTTGAATGCCACAGGAGCCTGGTCTGAGACCCCCTCACCTCCACTCCCCACTTCTTGGGAATGCGAATTTACCCAGGCTGGGCATTTAGCCACCTGGGACCCCAACATGAGGGCCAAGGACTTCTGACCAGTAGGGAGCTCACAGCAAACCTCAAGGAAGCAAATAATCCCATCCAACAGGGCCTTGTGGCCCTCACTGTGTCTCGTGTCTGCAGGTTTGGGCCTTGCCTCTTGGTCCCCACGTGCCTTGTGTTCAAGAAGTGACTTTTGGGCACAGACTAGGTGCTGGGTGCTGGGGGCTGGGAGATGATTCAGACCCAGTCTCTGCCCTTGTTGAGCTTGGAGGCTGGCTGAGAAAGTCAGACCCATAAACAAGAGTGGGATTCTCTGGGATGTGGAACGGATCATATCGGGCAGGCAGGGTGCCTATCAGCAATGGTCACATGGGGGACTTTGGGTATGTGGGAGATGGGGGTGATCGTGGTGCCTATTTCATGAGATTGTTCTGGGGCTTAAATGAGTTTACAGTTCTTAAATCCACAGTGCACATTCAGTTCAGGCTGGTGGCATCTAGTATGCTGGTGTAACTTGCAAAGGCTGCAGAGATGGGGGACTGTGGCACAAATATATGGAGCCATGTGTTTCAGTCTGAGTACTTGAGATGAGGTAATTTATAGCTTTTATTTTTTTCAGGTCTGAGGTTTGAAACCAGGAGTGCTCTGTTACTGAGCCACACCCCCAGCCCTTTTTTATTTTTAATTTTTAATTTTGAGACAGGGTCTCACTAAGTTGTTTAGGGCCTTGCTAAGTTGCTGAGGCTGGCTTTGAACTTGCCATCCTCCTGTCTCAGTCTCCTGAGCCACTGTGCCCAGCCAGACTGGGTAATTTATAAAGAACGGAAATGTATTTCTCACAGTTTGGGAGGTTGGAAGTCCACGATCAAGTGGTCCACAGGAACCCACTCCTAAGGCAGTGGCATTAATATATCACCTAGTGGATCAGATAGAGAGGGGAGGGTGGCTTCATCACCTCTCTGGGGTTCTACCTCCCTACACTGCAGCACTGGGGATTGGGTGTCCAATGCATGAGCTCTGGGGGACTCATTCAAACCATGGYACCACAGTGCCCTTTTCTGGGGTACGTTTCATTAGGCTGGTGTCTCCAACCACAGACATCGGGAACGGCTGGCTACCCATGAAGGCTGAATGCAGAGGCCCCCAGAAGGGTCACTGCCTGAGCTGGATCTTGGAGATGAGCAAGGGCGTGGGGGGCAGGGATGGGGGGTTGCATTTGGGACAAACACACAGCTATTTGCAGGTGCCTGGCCTATGTGCTTGGCAGGGGGAGTGCCAATGACTGGATAGTGGGCAGGAGGGGGACCGGCGGGGCCTTGGAGGCTGGACGTGAAGCCTCTCTTCTGCCACCTTAAGGAGTCTGGGCTTTATAGTGTGAGCATGGCCCTAGGCCTGTGCCAGCTTTGCTGGTGGCAGGAGGCTGGCTAAAGAAGAAGAGCAAAAGGAGGGGGGCCAGCTGAAGGGATCCAAAGAAGGGCAAGGGCAGTGGTGGGGGGCAGAGAGGAGTGGAGCCCTCGAACCTCCCCAGAGGCAGGAACAAGTCTCCGCCCCAAGCTCTGGCTTGGGGACTCCAAGGAGCTGCCTGCAACATGGCCAAGATTCTGCAGAGTTTTCTCAGCTTTGCAAAAGGCAGTGAAGTATAGTGTGAGATGCTTTAAATTGTCCTC